AACCAGGGATGGAAAACGTTTTTAAAAAACGTTAGTAAACGGAAAAAAAAACGAAAACAATGAATAAAACAAAAACAAAAAACCATAACAAAAAATCCCAAAAACAGAAAAAAAATTAATCACGAAATCAAAAACGAAAACGCAAATAAATTATAGTATTATAGGTACATTATTATATCAATAACACGAAAAAAAAATGTTACTTAAGTATTTACTTTTTAATCTTTACCAACAATGCTCTATTAAAATTTAAAAACATTTTTATTTAAAATCAAGAATAATTAATTTTAATTTTTTACTCTTATGTGCATTTCTAAATTGCTAAATTTACTACTATAAAAAAAAAACAATATTATCAAAAACAATATAGAAAAATAAAGTTTTTAAAAACGTTAATCAAAAACAAAAACGAAAAAATTAAAAACATTTTTCATTCCTGATTTAAACTGATTCATAACATTCTTTTATAGTTTAAATAAAAAGAACAATAAATATGACTTGAATTGATTATTTGATATTATCAACTATATTACTATCAATATTATTAGATCCTGAGCGGAGTGAGGGATCTATTGGTTTTTCAATATTGTTTATATTTATTTTTATTTTATCCTGCATACAAAATTTCTACCAGAAGCAGTTCTTCGCTTTTAACATATAGTATATCTTTTCTTTTAGCAAATTTTATCAAGATGGTACTTTAGAGAGGTAATTTTTAAATTTTCTCAATATTTATTTAATGACACATTACAATTTCACCGACAAATTTCAAAAACCGCTAAAAATGTGATTTCAATTTCTAACACTTTGTTTATCACCATTATAACAAATAAAATAAAAATAATGATTTTAGTTATTTTATCGTAATTTATAATATTAATTCAACTTACAGGCTATAATAAAATATAATTACAATATAAAATATCCAGACTGACAAACCGTCTCCGCTCAGAATCGTTTTTCGTATACAATGATATGATATCATTGAATTCAAATTTAATACAATCCATTATACAGTGACTAAGTATTGTAATCTACTGTACAGCAGAGCGACATCCACTTACCCGCTTTTTTAATATTCATTATTATAATATGGGAGTTGTGAGACAAAACCCTTAGGTACGGCTTATTTTGAAACCATTTTTTTCGTCCCCCTCCATTGAAATATCTTGAGAACGCCTCTCATACCTTATTACGAGTTACGGTTGGACTTGCTATTATTATTATTGTATTTATTAGGTACAATTTTTAGTTTACAATATATTGTTAAGGCTAAATACTATTCTTACAATTTAATACATTTATACTCATATTTGGTGTAAATATAAGTTATAACATCAATTGTGTTAAAATTCCTCTCAAAATAAGTCATCATATAATAGCTAATAGGTAATATAAGGTATCCCTCTACAATCTACATAGTACATATTATTATAATAATATGTATTATTAGTCATTGTTATCCCTCAAAAAGTGAGTTATTTTTGCCTTATCTCAGATAACAGGTTTTTTTTTTTAGTTATATTTTAAGCCGGTCAAAACTTTTGCCCCTCCCCCTCTCGAAAACTGAAATGACGCCACTGTTTTGAAGGCTGAGACACGATTGAGCATAAAACACCTTTTTTACGACACGATTGAGCCAAATTGTCGGCGTATCAAAGGAAATCAGAATACAAAAGAAAACCTACACGATTGAGCATAAAAAACTCTGTAACGTTGCCATTTTCCATTTTAAACTATATTATACAAAAAGATTTATTTAAATAACTATTATAATTCAAAATATAATATATCAAAACAATTACATAATAATAATGATGATAATAATAATAATAATAATAGTTATGAAAATAATAAAATCAAAATATGATACGAATTAAAAAAAATACTGCATGGCTTATAACTTTATAAGTCAAGAATACTATAGAGGATGGGTGATCGAACACTGATATTATTTAAATGATAATTTAGGAATTGTATCTTAATTTATAATCTTATGTTTTTCTTTAACTTTAAATTTTTAAAACTTCGGAACTTTATTGCTCCGGTCGCTCCGGAACTAATTTATTAACCAATGACATTGTCGATAAAGCTGGGCTCAGCTCACAACTCGCGTCTGGTATCATAACAATATTATTGTGGCAATAATGTGTGAAAATTATAAATTACAAAATTTAGGCCACGTAAATGTGGCAACATCACATAAAATATTCTATGCTCAATCGTTTTACGCTCAATCGTGCTTTACCGGTTTTGAATTCGTAGGTTTTTATACGTGAGTGTTTGTGTTTGGTAGAATTTTTGATTGGGCACACGTAAGTATCTGCCATGCCCGGACACCGTGACTTGCCCGAAGAAAAATGCCGCCCATGACCAAGGAATCGAACCCGCCCCGCCCCCCTGCAATATAATTATATAGAAAATTAATTAACAATGAGTATAATATAAAATATTAAGATTAATAAAGATTGGGTACAACATTCTGGAAACGTTGCAGGAACATTGTGGAAACGTTGATGAAACGGGTGTTACATTCGTAACGCGAAACATTGAAATATATGTAACAGGAACGTATACTGCGTGATCGTGATGTCTGATGAAACATAGTCGTAGCCTAAAGGCTGCGGCGGCAGCCGCCGCCGACACAACTACGTGCCGGGAGCCGACGACGTAATGCCGAAGCGGTTAGCCCATGCGACCCTGGTACCACCAACTCTGTTTCATCATGCAAATCATCATCTTGTCGAAGGTTTTTATCGCATTCGACAAAAATATTTGTCGCATGAAACAATTTTTATTGAAAATTAAAAAAAATAATTGATTAAATGAGGTACGGATTAGGTCCAGCATGACAGCATGTAGGTAGCTCACACGAAAAAAGAATATTTTTTTTTAGGATTGCCATTGGTTATTGTTTACTTGTAACCTACTGTACAGCAGAGCACCCTTTTCAATAAGATATTTTTTTATAATTTTATAATTAAAAGCTATTATTTTTGTTTAATATCTGTTTTGCATTTATTAAAATAATTTTTAAAAGCTACAACGATAATAATTTATGGAACTAGGATTTTTATATTTATGTTATGTAATGCAATTTTCTGTTTTGTATTTAGTAGTTACCTATTATATGATTACATAATTATTATTTATTAGATATTATCTTTAGAAAACAGACTTTTTACCCCCAAGACTTTTTTCTCAGAGACTTTTTCCTACCATCAAATCTTTTATCACTTCATTTTTATAAAATAAATTAAATATTTTGTTCATTGTGACTGTGGTAAATAATTAAATTTTAATATTGAGTGCTGAATATTTTATTTTCATTGTTCACTGACAGATTTGCGGCTGGTAAAAAAAGAACCATACAATTGTAGCACAAATAAATTATTAATACATTTGTTTATTTAATATTGAATAAAAGACTGTTGGATTTTTATACGGTTTAATTTTTTTTTATATATAACAGATTGTTTATTGACTAATATGTATATATTGAAATTCTATGATACCCATTCATCAATGAGCTTCAGATTCGCGCCATTCGCTACTGGCTGTCGTCTCCCATTAGTTATTTATACATTATAGTTACTTAGATAATATTATAGAACAATATAATATTGTTTGTTTTGGTAAGTTGAAAATATCAATTGTCCAAAGTCTAGAAATTTAGATCAGTTATATTATACTGATATGTAATTGTAGGTATAACCTTGTAGCCCGAGCAGGTACTTGTTGGTAGTTTCGACTATTGAGTACTGCTCGTCCAGCATCCTATGACCTAGGTCCATAGACCTATTAATAGGTCTTTCTTTCTTAATAGGTCTATGCCTAGCCGCCTAGGTCCGAAAGATAGTCTACAGGTGGTAATACACATCTGTTTAAGAGGCAGATTACTGTTAACGTAGATAGTTGCACTGATGTAAATGTAAATTTATAACTTCCTCTAAATAATAATGATTGTATATAGATTATAGGTGTTGTATTTATTTAGACTCAGCACGACAGCACATAATAATTGTATTCGAATTTATGGCCATTTGAGTCCTAAAACGCTCATGAAACTTATGACTCTGTGTTCAATAGTTTAATGGCTTAAACACTCAATATAGTGTAAATAATATAAAACAATTATTGAAAAAATATTGATAAAACTAAATACGATTATTTTAATTGGTTTAATAGACGTTTAAATGCTTATTAATAGTTATGTATACCTAATAAAATTATAAATTATTGAAAATACGACAATTGCAGTACTCTTAATTGAAATAAAAAAAAAAAGAAAGAATTATCATATTATAATCTATACATTATACATTTGAAGTTTGAATAGAGAACGATATTATGATAAACTATTATACAACATACATAAATACATTTATATTTTATACCATATTATAAACTATAATAATAATATAATATGTTATAGAAAATTTAAATTTGACCATAAAATAAAGATAGATTAGTTTAATATAATGTATATTGTATAATAATAATATTATTGTGAATAAATGTCTAATGTCTATCAGTTCACAGTTGTATTAGTCGGCTGTTTATAGTGTTTGGTCCGTTTGCGCTGCCACACAGTGTTAAAATATGTTAATTAGAATTTAGATTATTGGCTGCACGATTACACGTTTTAGCTACGAAACAGCTGCTGCTGCCGAACGATTTGATATCGTTTGACACGTCGCCTTATCAGTTATCACTAAGAGCAATAATAATAATAATTTTGATAATTTCACCCGTGGATTAACTTAGTAGAGTAGTTCGCGATTACAGCTACAGAGTACAGAATACAGATGTCGTACGGGGAAGTGGGAAATTACCAATCACTTTTGAAAGTTCATTTGCCCGTTTATCGTTAGATTTCTATTCCAACGTTCTGAGACATACCTATATTTTATAACTTTAACCGTATTCTCATATTATATTTTATTTGTTCTATAATTTAAATTGTAATTGTGTAGCGAGAAGAACGAATTATACTAAAAATGTCGCGTAAGTATACGAATCTCAAAAACATATAACATTATTCATAGATCACTTAAAAATCAATTTCGATTGATTGAAATACCAGTGGTACACAGTTCTTTTTTCACTCTTAATATTAATTTTATTATTGTGGAATTGTATGGCAACCTATAAATTTAAATAAAATACTGTATACTTCTCCTTAGTAGGTAGGTACATAGATGATAGATACTTATTAAAAATAAACAATTTCCATTGGATGGTCCACTGTCAATATTAAATTTTTATCATAGGCATGAGCTGACAAAGACAAACTAATTAATATTCAAGGTTATTGTGTATAAGAATTAAAATATTTTTTAAATTACCAATATTTTTTTTAAATTCTGACTTCAGAATATTATTAGGTATAATATAAAATTTTTAAATGGTACAAACAACATATTATCATACTGTTGAATTTTAACCCGGTTGTATTCTAATTGTATTTTAGCTACATTATAATTGATTATAATGACCTTTAAACATTTCTAATTAAATAAGAAATTTGCTTTTTTTTCAATCTTGATTCTTGATTAGTTTTTATTATATTGATTATGACAATTTTTTTTTCACCACATTCAGTAGATTATCTAATGTTTAAATAATATGTTCATAATGATTTTAGTTTATGTAATTCATTTAGAATATATAATATAATACAGTTAGACTTTCATATCACAAAATCTCTTGGGGAACAAAAACAATTCATATTATAGAGAATTTTGTTAAATAACATTAAATAAATTTGGTTCTCAAAAATATTTCGTTAAACAGAAAATGTTAAATGGAAGTTCATAATATGGAAGTTTCACTGTAATTTCAATTTAAATACCTACCAGCTTGATATTATTTTTTTTGTATGTTTTGCAAATTGTATTTACTGCATAAAACATTTTGTGTAGGGATTAATTAATTTATGTTATATTTCTTATTGCAATTGAAATTTTAGTAAAACTTGAATGAAATATAGGCATTCATATTAATTAGTTTAAAAATAATTTGATTGATTAGAAAAGTACACTTAAATATTTTTGAAAAAAAAACAGGTTTTTATGTTTATCTGGCCTTTTTTATGTCAATAGTAGTAGGTACACATCTTATTAAAACTAATTTTACAAGCCAACAAACAGTTAATCAAAGAAATATTATTTTTATTATAACTTACCAATTAAATTAGGTAGGTACTTCTTTATTTGGAAAATTTGCACAGTCCATCCATCAGCGGTTCCTAACCTTTTTAGTTATGCGGACCGCCAACTATGTAAAAAAATTGTGACCTGTATAATATCCACGTTAAAAATATAAGCACACGAATATGACCATAGAATAAATATAGACATGTATAAAATTATTTAAAAATCTCGATGTCGATGCCAATTTAAACTTTTTTACTCTTTGCTTAGACCAGCGTCCGTGGCTCAGTATCACATTGCTTGCGGCTTACAGGGGGCCCCGGCCCATAGGTTGGGAAGCTGTGAACTCTACAATCAGATTTTTAAACTAATATCAAAAATATTATAGTGATTTAGCCGATTTAGGTTTATTTTGTTGGTCATCATTAGGATTTGGCAGTCTTGTAAAGTATTTGAGTAAAAGTATTTGAATAAATGTATTTAAATACTTTTATTGTATTTAGAATACTTTTTAAATACTTTTTGAATAAAGTATTTGGAAAGTATTTTAAATACGGATTTGGACGTATTTGTATTTGAAAATCAAATACTTTTATTTAAATACTTTATCGATTTTTTTTCAATAATAAATGATTATTTATTATCTTTTTTCTCAGAAATCAAAGTAATGTTATGACTAAATAATAATATAGTCTTGAGTAATATCATTGAAATTTAGTAAGTTTATTCCCGACATAGCCTCATAAAATGCAAAATATTATTGTTTTTTTTTTTCATTGAAGCCTGTATTAGTTTATTGTGATGTGAATTATTTGAAACTCCAAACTATAAACATAGAACAATAATGAAGCGAACCTCGATCAGCTGATTCGGTTTACGACTTTACGTTTACCTATGATCTTATTTTTTTCCTGTTGAATAATTGAATAGTATACATACGTAATGCATTAATACAAATATTTTCACTACAGAAATATAGCATTTATATATAAATTATTTTCTCCAGAAGCTAGGTTTGTTGTGGAGATAAAGGTTCTTATAATATCTATTTAGTTCTCATACAATAAATAATTAAAACGATCATTCAGTGATTATTAACTTATCATACAATTATAGGTACCTACCTTGGTTAGTACCAGAATATGGAACATGCATTATAATATATGAACTATTAAGTATTAACTATATAATAATAATTAATATGTACAGTTTGAATGAGTTTGATTTCATGGTCAAATTTAAAGTTAAAATATCAAAGAAAAAGTATTGAACCCAAAGGTAAAACTTAAAACAAATTTATTAAAATAAGTATTTGCGTTTAAATACTTTCTAAGTATTTGTATTTGTTCTTAAATACTTATTGAAAAAAGTACTTTAAATACTATTTAAATACTTTTTAAGTTGATGTATTTGTATCTCTATTTAAATACAAATTAAAAGTATCTTTTTACAAGATTGGGATTTGGAATACAATGACTAGGGTTATGATTTGTATGCATTTATATATATTTACTAGTCGATTGTATTGTATTCTAAGTATGCACAAATTATGGTTTATGAAAGTATCCATGATTAAAAATACAAATTCTTTTAGACCATATTTTTATGTATTGGGTCTGTTTATGGTATAAGTCATGAGAATTATTTAAGTCTTATACACTTTTTTCATGAAATTAAATAAGCCTAAACATCAATAAAAATAAAACAATAATATTTTCTCCATGAACTACCTATTAATCATCTACAGACCACCTAGGGATCCATGGACCACCAGTTAAGATCCCTCAAACTAGTGAATATAAAAAAAAATATAAAAAATAACTCAAAAAATTACCTTAAAATGTGAAAAATTCAAAATAATAATTAGTTATTTAGATTTGTGTGTTATTGAAACATATTTTTCATCAAATTTCGGGCCCTAATCATCACTATATATGAATATGATATTTTTTTATAAATTGTATTTAAATATAATAAATTGTTAAATTGTTTGGAAATTAGATATTGCCCAAAATAATTTACTTCATAAAATATAAATTCATAGATTTATCATTTATAATTTAAAATTGATGTAAATAACATTACATTTAATTAATAATAAAACTTATTGTTACAGATCCATTCGAAAAATTTAAGAAAACAATTAATGTTAACGGCAAGGAATACTCTTTTTTTGATTTACCCAAGTTCGGTGTCGAGTATGGTAATATTAAAGTTTATATATTATTTTAATATTTCATATATGATAAAACAAAAATGTTTAATATTTTAGATCAACTGCCATTTTCAATCAGGGTTCTTTTGGAGTCTGCTGTTAGGAACTGTGATAACTTCCAAGTTACTGAAAATGATGTGCAAAACATATTGAAATGGAAAACTAATCAAACAGTTGAAGGAGGTGTTGAAGTTGCTTTTAAACCAGCTAGAGTCATTTTACAAGTAAAGAATTAATTTAAAAATTAACTTGTTAAATTTAAAACTTATCAAACGAGTAATATATTTTACAGGATTTTACTGGTGTACCAGCTGTGGTAGATTTTGCTGCTATGAGAGATGCTGTTAAGAGCTTAGGCGGTGATCCCAACAAAATTAACCCTGTGTGTCCTTCTGACTTAGTAATTGATCATTCTATCCAAGCGGATTTTGTCAGAGAGTAATATATATATATATATATATATAATTTTATAAGTCATTGTATAAGATTCTGTTCAAATGTCATAATTATTTTAGAGCTGATGCACAACAGAAGAATGAAAATCTTGAATTTGAAAGAAATAAAGAAAGATTCACTTTTTTGAAGGTATTTTTATAATTTAACTGTGATAATACTTAAACAATCAACAAATGAGCTGTATGTGTATTTTTTTAGTGGGGAGCTAAAGCTTTTAAGAACATGTTGATTGTACCACCAGGTTCTGGTATTGTACATCAAGTGAACTTAGAATATTTAGCCCGTGTGGTGTTTACCGACAGAGACACATTATACCCAGATTCTTTAGTGGGCACAGATTCTCACACAACAATGATCAATGGTTTAGGAGTTTTAGGGTGGGGTGTTGGAGGTAAACTAACTAAAATAACAATTTATTATTGTTAAGATAATACATTTAATGTTTATTTGTTTGTTTTATTTTTCAGGCATTGAAGCAGAGGCAGTTATGTTAGGACAAGCAATATCAATGTTGCTTCCTCAAGTTCTTGGTTACCAGTTAACAGGAACTCTAAATCAATTTGCAACATCTACTGATTTGGTTTTAACAATTACCAAGGTAAAATATTAGACATTGTTGTATATTATTTCCAAAAAATTATGTAATTATTTACTATTGTTTTAGCACTTAAGACAAATTGGTGTAGTTGGAAAATTTGTAGAATTTTTTGGACCTGGAGTTACTCAATTATCTATTGCTGATCGAGCGACGATAAGTAACATGTGTCCTGAATATGGTGCAACAGTAGGCTTTTTTCCAGTAGACCAAAATACACTTTCATATCTTCAACAAACAAGTATGTTAAGTATTTTTTTTTTTTGTTAAACAATATCATACCAGCTTGTGTTGTCTCTGTTTTACTAATACATAAACACAACATTGTATGTTTAGCAGTTCTAATTCGATGTTGAAAATTATGGATATTGTACCAGCATGTGTTATCTTCGTCCATAACGCATAATACCTATATAAAATTATACGCTATGAAGAATCAATTTTACGTTATTTTTAAATTTGATAATAAGTCAATTCTCACTTTTTAAATATTTAAATATAAACTCTTAATAAATACCAAAAACTATTGAGTAAAATGGATTCTTTTCAACTTAAAATGTATTATATTATGTTGTGTTAGTAAGAAGTAGCCACACATATGGGTACAACATCCTCTTAAACATAAGAGTAAATTTACCTCTTTTAATTTTTTAATTTTACCTTTAAATTTAATAAGAGGTGAATTCACTCTAATTTTAGATATTACATGGTAAAATGTGTTATTGTGAACGTTAAATTTGCCATGTTTGTAAGACACATTCAACAAATGCCCGTGTGGTGTCCTCTTAATATTTAAAATGCTCATTACTGGCTTAAAAACTAAAACATTTTCAGAAAGCAATGAGAGAACACGGATAATATTTTTAACTTTGAGGTTTATAATAGATCATTTCACTCTAATATTTAAACCAACATAAAATTCTAGCTGCTAAAGGTACATTTTGTATGTTTTTGGTTAGTAGCCAGTAGGAATTGAAATATCATATGTAGACAGTGGCGCTGAATGAAATTAAAACTGGAAGTTCAAAATTTCAAGTAGTTTGACTCACCCACCCCTTCAAACGACAATGAAACGGGCTTAACTAATTATATTATTTAACGATATTCTGGCATTTTATAAAATTACAGCAGAGAGACTAGATAGTATACTCTTTTATTTTACCCACTCATTTTTAAGTCACTTAAAATGAACTACGTGAATTATGTGTTTAGTGTCACTGCATGTGGATATGACATTATGACGTCCTCTTATTGCTCTATAAAATGTAATGTTTACAATGTTCATTGTTTTATTAACAATATAAATGTTGATTATAGTATAAAGTTTTAAACTTTTTACAGGTGTACCTATAATATTTAAAAAAATAATAATTCATTCAAAATTTGCATTTAAAAAATGAAAATACATTAAAATCTCAAAAAATCAGTATAAAATACGCTGTTAGTATATTTAGGAATCATAATTTATAAAATATATTAAGCTTAAAATTATTAAACTTTGTGTAGTGGAAACTATGTATTACTGTATTCGCAAAACAATGCTTTTTTCTACAAATGTACAGCTTTATTTATTAGTAAACCACAGTTTGACACATTTAGTAAATTATCAAGCTCAACTAATTCAATTTTTATAATCTTAATAAAATACATGTTATAAATTATAATACATAAATAATAAAATATCTAACCTTCCATCCATTATACATTTTTTTTTTTGTATTCCTATTTATATAATTATTTAATTATTTGTTTGTCAGATCGAAGCAGTGAAAAAATAGCTGCTGTTAAAGCATATCTAGAAGCTTCCAAAATGCTAAGAAATTATGATGATCCATCTCAAGATCCAGTGTTCAGTCAAATCACTAATTTGGATTTAGGAGAAGTTGTGCCATCCATCAGTGGGCCGAAGAGACCACATGATCGTGTGTCTGTATCTGAAGCTCAAAAAGATTTTAAAAGTTGTCTAACAAATAAGGTAAGTGATTTTATAATCAAGCGTATTATTTTGTATAGGTATTAGGTACTAAAAATTAGTGTATAATCCGACTGGTTTGGCCCAACCCGAAAAAACCTATGCTAATTTTCTCAGGGAAATAAAAATTCACTCTAAATTTTTTTTTTAGCTTGTGTTATATTTTAGAAAAGTTTACCATATAGGTATTATTTATTTTTCCTATTAAACTTTGATTAGAAAAAAATATTCAGATTCAATACATTGCCATCCGGCTTTACAATAAGAAAATGTTGGAATGTCAATATCAGACATAATATTATCATAGTATAGTTTGTGGCAGGGCCGACACTTTTTAAACATTTTTCAATAACTGACAAAGCGACAAGGTAAGAAAAAGTGCCTGTAATACATGGAATACAATTTCTGATTTTTTTTCAAATGGGCTTTTTCAGGAAAAGACTCGATAAAACCGCTCATTATTACTTTACAATAAAACCTTCCGTGTTTTTGGGTTTTTATGGAGTTTTATATGAGTTTTATGTGTTTTTTCCAACCCTACTACTGACTATAATGTATTTAATATACTAATTTTGACTATAGTTATATCTATGTAAGATAATATTATCATTGTTCATTAATACCTATTTTATTGCATTGCTGAGCTAAGAGATTTTAGTAAAAGTGGCAATTACATGTTTGATGTTACAATGTAAATAGGTGCTATTATAATCACTAACGATAATGAGTTTTCAGCACTATATTAGTTTAATATTTTTAAAAACATTATAGACATTATAACATTAACTGCAACAAATATTGACATACTTCTATTTTTAAAATTTGATAGGTACTAGGCACATTAAATTTAAAACAATAGGCCGTCCATATTCCATACTCAATAATTTATTTAATACCAAAATCAGAAATAATACATTTATTATTGTTAAAATAATATTGAATATTTTAAATTGTGTGGTTGTCAATTGTCATACAGCATTTAATACATGTTCATTGTTTACATTACCTACTTAGTTTAATCTTATTACAGCTTATTTTTTTAATTTAATATTTTATTTTAGGTTAACAATAATATATTTAGTGATGACATTTATATTGAAATATAATTGTATTTTTGGTGTGTATTAAACATTATTTTATATTTCTGCACAAATAATAAATAATAAGTTTTCAAACAATACTATTAAATAATTAATTAATATTTTTGGTACTGGTTTAGTGGTTTGTTATAGCCCCACAACGGCGAGTGAAAACTTTAAAGTCCCGCCACTCAGGTTTGTTATAGCCCCACGGCCCCCGCCATCCGTACAACAATAAATACATCGTATAAATATAAAATAATGAGTTTATTTATTGATTCCATAATAATAATAATTCTGTGACATATATTGATGTAACATTAAAAAATGATAGTAATAAAAATATTGTATAAGTATGTATAAAACAATGATAAATTAAAAAATGTATAAAAATGTTTACGGTTTCTCTTATGATCACTATATTGTTAAGTTTCGATCGCCACATAAATCCTGCCATGTAAGAGTCTAAAAAATGTCTATCAATTCATCTACGGTTTT